AACTTGCTTGATCACCCTTATCTACAAACTAATAGTCAGACAACATGTCTGACTAATCAATCGGCACATAATTATCTTCTCTCAACAAGAGATAACAGATAGATAGCTGAAATGTCATTTCTCAATGAGTAGTCCCATTGAAATCAATAGACCCATTTTAATCAGTAAACTCAGACACTGCCATTGTTTTGCTGAAATCAAGTCATGGATTCAGTTTTCTGTCTTTCTACCATTTTATGTTGAAAATTAATGGAAGAAGATGGAAAAGTAAAAGAAAGAAAGAGGGGAAAGAGAAAGCTATAATTCTGAGCCCTAAGATACATACAGAGATATAGAGGTAATTGAGTTTGTGTAAAATGTCTATGTAGTTGCCCAAATATATTTGCTGAATAATTTTTGGTTTGTTTGTTGTTGTTGTTTTGAAATTTATAGGTTAGCCGTTATTTGTATCACTGGTATGTAATGACAAGGTTTTCATCATTTTCTCTCATTTATGCAAAGGACCAGCCTATTTCTGTATGTTCAGAAAAGTGCCATCCAGGTTATAGCAAGAAAATGAAGGAAGGTGCACCATTTTGCTGCTATGATTGCATCCCCTGTCCAAATGGGAAGATTTCAAGCCTTAACGGTAAGACCTTCAGTGTACAGGCTTAAATTTAATGTAGTTTCCAAAGCACATGGCAATTCAAGTTGTGATGTTCTTGTTGATGATATTGTTTTTAATTGGCTGAATCAGAATCTCCAGAAAGGCATAACAAAATCCAATTCAAACTCTATGATAAGATCCCATGCCAAATAACACTGTCACAATCCTATTACATTGTTGCAGTATTAGAGCAAGATAAATACACTGAGGTTCGAGAAAACAAAATAAACCATTTTTCTCTTCCAATTTTCAGACATGGATGACTGTTCTGAATGTGCAGAGGATCAGTATCCCAACAAGGACCAAGATTTGTGTGTTCACAAGACAGTAACCTTCTTGTCTTATGAAGAACCACTTGGGATCATCTTAGCCATTTTTTCAATTTTCTTTTCGTTCTTCACTGCTTTGGTTCTAGGAATATTTATCAAGCAACATGACACACCCATTGTCAAAGCCAACAACCGAAGCCTTTCCTATACTCTCCTCATTGCCCTCTTGTTCTGCTTCCTTTGTGCTTTGCTTTTCATTGGCCCACCTCTGAAAGCAATATGCCTTCTCCAACAAATTAGTTTTGGTATAGTTTTCTGTGTTGCTGTTTCTTGCATATTGGCCAAAACCATGACAGTGGTTCTGGCTTTCATGGCTACCAAACCAGGAAGCATGATGAGGAAATGGGTGGGCAAACCACTGGCCATATCCATTGTCCTTTCATGCTCTCTTATCCAAGCATCAATTGGTGTCATATGGTTGGCAACCTTTCCGCCATTCCCAGATGCTGAGCTGCACTCAGAGACTGAAGAAATTATACTGGGATGTAATGAGGGGTCTGTGATTATGTTTTTCTGTCTTCTTGGCTATATGGGTTTTCTTTCCATTGTTTGCTTCTGCATAGCTTTCCTTGCCAGGAAGTTACCTGACAGCTTCAATGAAGCCAAGTTTATCACTTTCAGCATGTTAGTCTTCTGCAGTGTTTGGTTGACTTTTATTCCAACCTACCTGAGTACCAAGGGAAAATACACAGTGGCTGTGGAGGTCTTCTCCATTTTAGCTTCTGGTGCTGGTTTACTGGCTTTCATCTTTTTACCAAAATGTTACATTATTGTTTGGAGGCCTGATTTGAACAAAAGGGAACGACTAATTAAGTGAAAATATTAAAATTATTAATTGTAAGCAGTTTTTTATATAAGACTGAATTTCAGCTTTTTTTTTTACAGCATTTCATTCAATATCTGCAAACACAAAATTCTCCATGTCTCTCACATATACAGAATCTATCGATCTCTCTTCCCCTTCTGCTGTCTCAATCTGTATATTTTCATCTATAAGATGCAAAAAATTAAATGATGGCTGCATTGCAGTTCACATACTGTTTTGTAAAGTGTGAATTAGTTATGTTCATCTTTCAATTTGAATTGAATTAAATTTCTCCTCTGTTTCCAGAGGCAGAAAGCAGGGAATGTTAGGGGATCCAATCAGAGGTGAGGTGGGGTGGTAGCTTTATGCTAAAAGCCATAAAAGACTTGTGCCAGTTCTGCTACACTCAGCAATTCAGTTTAATCAATATTTATTCTAAATAGTTGGATTTAATTTTGATGATGTAGTTGCTAATGAGGATCATATCGTTAAATTGTTGGTAGCTCAGTCTCCTGCAGAAAAGACCAACAACGGCTCTTCCAGCACATTAAAGACGAACAAATTAATTATGGCATAAGCTTTCTCCTGAAGCACATGTTTTGGGTCAATTGCAAATAAGTGGCAAGGATTTGTTCCAAGTACAGAATTTCCCTGTGATGTTGCATGCAACTCTCATTGTAGTGCCCTTACTAAAAACTACCAGCATACTTTGGCCTTGACATTTGTGGTCAAAGAGATCAATCAAAACCACCAGCTCCTGTCCAGAGTTACCATGGGTTTCTGCAGCTATGACAGCTTCTTCATTGAAAGATGGAGCTATCATGCCACAATGGAACTTCTCTCAACACAGGCCAGATTTGTCCCAACTACAAGTGTGATGCATGGGATAATCTGAGAGCAGTCATTGGAGAACTTTACTCTGAAATCTCCCTGTTTTAAGCAGTGCTTTTTTCTGGGGGACACAGGGTTATGCACACCCCTAAACATTTTGTGAATCTAAGTTTGGCCTCACTGAGGGGCAGTATTTCAATATGAATAGGAAAATGAGAGTACCCCTAAACAGTTTTTAGGAAAATAAGCACTGATTTTAGGTCTCTACAAGGTTCCACAGGCAAGATGCAAGTGTGTATAGTGTCTTTTCAGAGATTTTTGTGTAGTTTGGGGATGAGAGAAAGAAATGTGTGAGATGAACATGTAGACTGTCCATTCTCTTTAAAAACCCATCACAACCATATATATAATTTTCATCCAGCATAATTTGTTCACACACAAAATAATATGTCGAACAATAATCATGCAGGATTTTTTTAAGAGTTACAATTCTTACCTGTGACTGGACTCTGTTATAGGTTTGAATCCTCTAATTTTCTGTTCTCTTCATTTTATATGATTTTATGTGTTCTTATATTACTGCTTTAATCGCTTCAATATACTGTTAACTGGGAGCAACTGATGACATTTTTAAAGAACTTGGTACAGTAATTATATTGCAAACCCACTCACAGCACCCCTACTCCTGTGGGCAAAAATGAAGCAACACTAGGTATAAACAACTAGACAAGACACTATTTAGGAATTTAAAATTGGTCACAACTTTTATTGATTACAGATGTAGGTAGACTTTGACTCAAGTACTGGGCATATAGACATTATCAGCCGCCAGGTGGAGGACTAAACCTTACACACACACATGTCTCTATTTCTATTTCTGCTTCCACTTCATCATTCTCTAGTTCAAATATGGCTCTGCTCAATTTATTAATGAGGACACCGAAGACCTTTCATTTTACCAAATGGTGCCAAATGAGGCCCATCAATACAATGGGATTCTCTGATTGCTTGTGCATTCCTGCTGCCCATGGGCAGGGGACCTTGTTGCAGAAGATAGCAATGAAGAAAGATTCTTGGAAATAGTGATGCCATAGTTTTCACAGTGTGGCATCTGTTTTGCTTTAATAGAAAGAGTCAAGGCAATTTACATCACTGATGTATTTGACATGCTGGAATGGGGAGCATAGCTTAATAATAATAATAATAATAATAATAATAATAATAATATACCCCGCCCATCTGGCTGGGTTTCCTCAGCCACTCTGGGCGGCTTCCAACAAAATATTAAAATACAATAGTCTGTTAAACATTAAAAGCTTCCCTAAACAGGGCTGCCTTCAGATGTCTTCTAAAAGTCTAATAGTTGTTTTTCTCTTTGACATCTGATGGGAGGGCGTTCCACAGGGCAGGTGCCACTACCTAGAAGGCCCTCTGCCTGGTTCTCTGTAACTTGGCTTCTCGCAGCGAGGGAACCGCCAGAAGGCCCTCGGCACTGGACCTCAGTGCCTGGGCAGAACGATAGGGGTGGAAACACTCCTTCAGGTATACTGGACCAAGGCCATTTAGGGCGTTAAAGGTTAGCACCCACACTTTGAATTGTGCTCAGAAACATACTGGGAGCCAATGTATAATATTATGGAGAGCAAAGCCCATGTGTTCATGATCTCTGTAGAAACACAGTCTATGATAAATTGGAGATGGTTGCTACATCTACCCGAAATAAAATAAGTCCCCAGCCCCAATCTGACAGAACTTGAAGGATCAGAAACATGCAACAACCAACAAAAACACGATCATAGAAAGTGAGATGGTGAAGGGGGGTGGGTATATATATATAAAACCATCCATCCTTCTGCCTTGGGTTGTCTTTTTTCAAAAAACAAACAAAGCCAAGCCAAAGTTTTATTCTTTTTTCAAGCTGGTAGGAACTGGAAAATAGACAGGCAGCAGCGTAGCTAGTGATCCCCGCCCAGGAAGGATTTTGTCACCCACTCAGGGATGACACCTGGAGTGGACCACACCCACCGCCCTGCCCCCTTCATACACCCCTGTGGATGGGGTGGAGTTAGTGTGGCTGGGGCTAGGAAGGGAAGTCTGCAAAGTTAAGAGCCCACAGATTTTCCTTGTGGACTTTCCTTCACTGGAGGTTTTTAGCAATCTGTCATGGGTGTTTGAGTGGAGATCCTTACCTTGCAGAACATTGGACTAGATGAAGAGGTGGTCTATTTTCAGTCTCCACAAAAGTCTCTGAATTTCAGATTAGAGTTGGGTGGAATGATTTTTTTAATTTATAATTGAGTTTATGAACCATCACAGTTGTCTCATCAGAATGGCATCAGCATTTAGGTCAGAAACAAAGGTCACACACACAGTTTGTATTGCTAGAAAATTATATTGTATTCAGGGGTTTTTTCCTGAGGAGTTGCTCCCTATTGTTCAGCTCAGGCCTCAGCACAATAATGTAGCATTTCGGGAAAAATATACAACCCAGCAAGCCAAAACTGGATGATAAGATGGAAAAAATTTCCACAGCCACCATGTATTTTCCCTTGGTGCTCAGGTAGGTTGGGACAAAAGATAACCAGACACTGCAAAAGATCAACATACTAAATGTGATAAACTTGGCTTCGTTGAAACTGTCAGGCAACTTCCTGGCGAAGAAAGCCACAGTGAAGCTAACAATGGCCAGGAAACCCAAGTACCCCAAGACACAGTAAAACATAGTCACAGACCCTTCATTGCATTCTAGTAAAATTTCCTCAGTCACAGAATGCATGTCAACATCTGGGAATGGGGGAGAGGTTGCCAGCCATATAGCACAAATACCTGTTTGTATAAGGGAGCAGGAAAGAACAATGGTGCTAGCTAGTCTTTTCCCCACCCATTTCCTCATTTTAGAACCAGGCTTGGTGGCCATGAAAGCCAGAACCACAGTGACAGATTTTGCCAATACAGAAGAAACAGCCATGGAGAAGATGATGCCAAAGGCAGTTTGTCGGAATAGACACCCCAGTATCCAAGGTCTGCCAATGAAGAGCAATACACAGAGGGGGCAGAGCAGGAGGGAGAGAAGGAGAAGGTAGGTAAGATTCCTGTTGTTAGCTTTGACAATAGGAGTGTCATGATACTTCATAAAAGCCATGAGCACAAGAGCTATGATCAAGGAACATGAAAGAGCACCAGTGCCTAAGCTGATTCCCAAGGGCTCTTCAAAAGCCAGGAAGCTTACAGCTTTGGGAGTGCAAAAATCCTGATCTTCATTTGGGTGACGATCTTCTGGGCACCAGAAACAGTCGTTCATGTCTGAAAAACAATATTCCCTGTCAGTCTCCCCAAACATTTCCTGATGCTAAATTGATATTGCAGTCTGAATGGCTGGCCCTTTTGCTGTCTATGTGAAAGCAGAATGTTTCTATCCTATAACACAGGTTTGGGGAAGCCTTGTTCCATGTCCAATACCTTTTCCTGGCAGCACCGGGGCCCATAGGCTGCAGCAAAATACTGGGCTCATGTTTTGCCTGGTATCTTGCCCATGCCATGGGCTTAAGGTTGTCCCATTAGCCGATGCAAAGGGGAGTGGAAATATTTCATCAGTTGTATCATGGGGTGAAAGTGTCCTGAAATGCCATTGCAGTAGCAAATGTGTGTATGTGTGTTTTGTGTGTGTGTGTGTGTGTGTGTGTGTGTGTGAGAGAGAGAGAGAGAGAGAGAGAGACCCATCTTTGAAATGTTTTAAGAATTTTGAGTCCCAACTTCCGGCTGCCTTAGTGGCACAGCTCTCACGATAGCGGAGACCATTGGCAAAGATGAAACAAGGATGATTTGAGGGTAATTGTCCTTGCAAACTCCCCCCAACGAACAGGGGATGTGAGCTTTACTCAGATCATCTCAGTACCTGCCTTTTGCTCTGACATGGAGGTGAGTGGCAGGGAGACTCTGAGTGCAAAAGCACTTCGCTTCTTGGTCACCCTCCAATGCCACCATTAAGAGCAGCGGTTCTTCTGTTCATTAAGAGATTAATTAGGATTAATGCACAGACGCGTGCTGCTAATGATGGGACAAGATTAAGGACTGCCAAATTGAAACAGCTACATGGTTGTACAGATTTAAATTGGAAGATGACTTCATTCGAGCAACAAGACGGTATGTGTTGTGGAGGAGCCAATCACTTCATTATAAATACTTTGTTACATAAATGACTCAGCAACCCCCCTGACAATGTCAAAAAACTTTGGTCTTCAAAGCAAGTGAAGAAGAAAGGAGATGGGAGTACGGATATTGATTCTAATGACATACGGGACTGTGTGAGGAAAATACTGTATTACGTTTGGAATCATTATAAAAAGGGCTTGGAGCCTCTGCAGAGTTAATTCTTTTACTTGCCACCTCATTGAGGGGAGGAGGGACTGGACTTCGAAGACTTTTTGGGGCTCTGGTGGAGAACTAGATCATTCTTCTACGGATAATTATAATTAATTGCTTCGACTGGATGTGGAGGGGAGAACTTGGAGGCCTGCCAGGGCTTTGGCAGGACGTTGGGTGACTCCCTGCTTGAAATTGAAAATGGAATTTTACAGCTGCAACATAAGAGTTGGGAACAAAGAGAAAGACCTCTCCAGAGTAACTCTGAGTCAACAGAGCTGTAAGACACAAAGGAGATCAGGAATAATTAATATGGACATAATATTTGATAAAGAAATACAGGAACAATTGATGGAAATTAAAACCTCACACAGTAAGAAGAAAGGAGAACTTCACTTGCGAATTTACAAATTACTATATGTGTTAATGTAAATTGGAGTTAATTATTGTAGCTGTGGTATAAGGGATTTTATCAAGAATGGATTGTATTTGGTTTGAGCAATAGTCTGGAGGCAGAATTAAAGGGAATCAGACCTTGAAGTACAGCATGTGGGAAGCCACACAAAAATTATAATTGGCTAAGTAATTGATTTGTATTTGAATTGATATTGCTATTTGATATTAATATAATATGGAACATATTGCATTTTGGTAATTGAAAATTAATAAAAATCATTTAACAGCAACAAAATGAATGGGAGGATATTTCATTTCTTAGCCACAATGCTGTACCCAAGCATTGCTGAACCAATCAGTACTCATGGTGCACTTAGGTCTTCCATATCTGACTGGGAAAGATGCCAAATCAGAATAGGGGCATTTTGAATATATGAAACCAGTCTTATTCATCTCTTGTCATTGCTTGTCAGTGAGTTTCCTATCAACCCCTACATGCCTTCAAATTGCATTTTGTATATTGCTGAGATTCACCTGAAATTGTTTTTCCAATGAGATTTCAAAAAATGACTTTTATATGTGGGATTATTCTTAATTGATTTTATATTGATATTTTATGAGAAGCAATTCATAAATTGAATCCAACAAACAAACGAGCAAACAGCTAACATATGAGGTCCATATACTCCTTACCTTTCTGGTTAGAAATCTTCCCTTCTGGACATGGGATGCAATCATGGCAGCAAAATGGCACCCCTTCTATTCTTTTTTTGTGATAACCAGAATGGCAACTGTCTGTACACACAGAAATAGGCAATGTCTGACCCAGAAATAAATAAAATGATGTTACCATTTAGAATATAAGCAGCAGGAAGTTGTATTTTCTCGGTAAATCTGTAGTTCAACAGTAGGCATTAAGATTTTAGAAAACCTTTGGTATTTGAATCTTTACTAAGGATTGTAGGCAATATGAATGAAATCTACCTCTAGTTTCATACACACATTGGACCTTGGCCCAAAATGTTATCAAAGAAGGGAATGAGAGAAATCATGAGCTTCATTCATTCATTTATTTTTTCCCCAGGTTCACTCTGACCATTCTTCATAATTTGGATATATTAGGATAATTGCTAAAACTAATTCTGAGATTGAAGCAAGAACAGTTTGCTTTAGTGTTCTTTCCATTCGTTTCTCTGTTTTCCCATAACAACAAAATTGATGTAGCTGTTATGGTATAGTCATAATGAGAACGGAGGCACATGTTGACCTAACTGTAAATGTAATCCCTTAGTTTGCATATATTCTCTCCCTCTTTCTCTTGGATTGTTTTATCAATGTGCAAAGGATACAGACACAGTGGTATAACACAGGGACGCGGACTTATAAAAAATATTGGGGGGGCCCGGGAAAGCTCATGAATAATAAATAAGCTCATGAATATGCAAATAAAGTGGCTCCGGCCCTAAATAGGGCAAGCCACGCCCCCCCAGCCAGCCGATTGGCTGGCTGGGAGGTGTGGCCAGTCGGGATTCCCCTGTTCTCGCGGGGGCTGAAACCGCCAGGAGGAAGGAAATTCCCCCCGGCAGTGCCTTGGCAGTGGCGGTGGTGCTGCGAAGCAGCGAGGCAGGAGCCCCCGCCCCCGGCGCACGAGATTATTGGGGGGGCTGAGCCCCCCCAAAAATTTTTTTGAGGGGGCTCGAGCCCCCTCAAGCCCCATGGAGTCGGCGCCTATGGTATAACAACAATTAAAGATTATATTTATATTAGATGAAAATATGCATGACCGTTTTGGCCATCACATTCCCCCCCCCCCAGCACATACATGCTGTTTCATATGTAACCTCTTTGTAATTTTTTAAATATATATTTGAAGGTTAATTTCACAGTCTCTTCTTGACTTCTCGTTACTAAAATACTTATAAACAATATTCCCTCTCTAATTTTAGACAGTCAATGAGAGGAGAGTCCGTTACAACCCACTCAAAGCTTCCTGAATGTGCTTACCTCAGCTACTTAAGATATAGTGACAAGGAATCACCAAATAATCAAATCCTTAAAGCAAACAATAAAGCAGCAGTAAACGGTAGCAGTAAACCCTTGATATAAACATATGTATGGATTGGAATAATAACAATATCAACAACAGCAGCAGCAGCAGCAACAACAACAACAACAATCAATAGCTAATCAGGGCCACCCTTTAAAAATCAATTTAGCCCCCTACAAGGGTAAGTGAGATTGAAGTGGGTGGGTGGTAGCATCCCTGTAAATGTGATCACCTCTTTACATCAATTGGATATATATGGCCATGTTGAGCAGAAGCACCCTCAACCACTCTTTGGGTTGGAAAACATGACTTCATAGTATTGAAGGAGGGATGGTCAGTGCTTTTTTTCTGGGAGTAGTCAAGGTCACACAGTACTGGCACCTTCCTCCACCCTAATGTTAAAAGTGTGGCACTTACTGTAACAACTTCATGGTGATCAGCCTGGATAGCTCTGTTGGGTGGTTAAAGAGTACCAGCACTTTTTTTCTTGAAAAAAGCACTGCGGATGGTTGTACTCACATTCAAATAGTAGTAAAGTATATCCCTATCTGAGCATTCAGAGCCCTGTGCATAAACATTTGTGTGAGGGAGAACAAAGGTGCACTATGAAGTCTCTCACTCTCCTGCACTGCATTCAGCCTGTTTACAGCACTTCACAGTAGCAGAAGTGGGGGAAATCCTCTACTCATGAAAAACTCTGATCAAACCTCAAATCATACCTGGTTAAATCCAATGTGCCATGTAATAGTAGACTCATTAATAGTGAATTCTTTTACGGGAGTCTGGAGATTCACTTTTCCAACTTTCACTCTGAGGAAGGATTGATTTGGGAATGTGATCCAGTTGACAATGTCAAATCCAGCTTCCAGGGCCCCATTGTGATCAAAGGAAATTTTGTCCCCAGCACTGTTGTTGAATGAAATACTCTGTAAAAAGTGGTGGAGCTGGGGGGGTGGGGGTGGGAATGGTGCAGAAGAAGAGAAATGCAGAAATGTAATAAGTTGGAACAAACTGATTCCAGGAGTTCTCGGAATTCCACCCAAATACACACACACACACACACACACACACACACACACACACACAAGTATTGTAGCATTTCTGGAAAGACAAGTGAACATACTGTGGAGGGACCCGCTTCCTATTTCTACTAGGTCCTCTTGCTATACTGAACGATCCCAGATAAATTACCTGAAATCATTACCTGCCATGGCAGCCAATTCTTAAGCTTCTCTTCATACACCATTGCTATTGGGCTTGAATTTGCCACACACCTTATTTCTGGAAAACATCTCCAATCAATTTTCCTGAGAGAGGGTTTGCTTAGAAGTTTGACATGCCTATAGGGTACACATAATTAGTATGACCTTCTGGGGAGAACTACATAGAATTTATGTTATCTTCCTCACAGGCTCAGGACAGAAATATTAAGATTTATAATATACATAAACAACTTACAAATGAAATGCTAATCATAATCATAATCATTGAATAAGATACAGTAAATTAAAGCAGTCACCTCTGTGTTCCCCATTACCTGTGCTTTGTTGAAACTTTGGTACTTATTATCTGGCCTCTAGGCCTTCCAGAAAACAAAGTCCCATTATTTCCTAGAGACCCAGGTCATTTATTAAATATTACGGTAACTCACAACAATGGAGCAATGGCAGCCATGTAGGAGAAAAAGTACATGAATTGGAAGACCATGCTATTTTGTGGCTATGATTATTCACCCAGACATGACATAATCCACCAGTACAAACATCACTTCTTCAATGTGACTGCTGGAATAGTCTACTTAGAATTTCTAATGTTTCAAGAATAGAGCTTTCAGAGTAGACTGCCATAAGACAGTATCATGGGCATGACAAAAAGTGCTGATACCCCATAATACTCATGTTATGTGTCTTAATAAATTTCTATACAGTTTAGGTAGTTCTGATCCCATAATTCCCAAAAGAAAAACTTCTGTTTTTTTAAATAAGTGTTATCTTAAGCATCTTTTTCAGTACATTAGTTATCATTTCCCAGTAAGCTTTAACCTTATTGCAAGACCACCACATGTAGGCAAGATTAAAATGTTTAACCAATAAAACTCTCCTTCCTTCCTCAGCCTCTTCAACTAGCCCACCAATTAATCCATCTTTTAGTGATAGTTCACAAAGCCATATAATCGAAACCCACACAAATCCAAAAAGAGGAAAAACCAAAACCAAATGTATCTGCCAAAAAGAAAAACCACAACTTCAGAAACTTTATTTAGTGTCAGTCCCCCCCCTCCCAAAAAATTTTTTTCACGCTTTTGAAAATAATCCCAGCACTTCCCAATATTAAAGTTCTAAAACCTATACACAATATCTATCTCTTTTGAATCACACAGAAAAGGAAAACAAAGGAAAAGGAAAAAAGATTAGCTTGTCAAAGCCGCTATGACACACTCGACAATAGATAAGGGACATAATATAGATTTTAGCCTCTGGGAAAAACTTTGGAAAAGCAATTTGAAATTTACAGCACGTTATTCTTTGAAGGAGAACTACTTGAAAACGATTTACAGATGGCATTTAACTCCGAGTGGGCCTGCTAAGATGTATAAGACTGAATCAGATAAGTGCTGGAGATGCAATGAGGTTGAGGGGACGTTGTTTCACATGTGGTGGACTTGTAAAAGGTAAAAGAGTATTGGGAAATAATCCATAATGAACTGGAAAAAATGTTTAAAAGTACCTTTCCGGGGGGGAAACAGAGTCCTTTTTGTTTGGGGATAATTCGGACGGAAATTCCCAGGTGTCAAAAAAGGTTATTTATATATGCCACTACTGTGTCCTGTGTTTTGTTAGCCCCAAAATGACGACTAAAGAAGAATGGCAACTTAAGCTGATAGAATATGTGCAGCTTGCAGACTTAACATATAGAATAAGAGAACAAGAACATACATACACTTGAAAACAGTGTGAATAAATTTTGATGGATGTAATAATGGAATACTGATTGGTTTAGTTTTTGTAAAATATGCGGGGATTTATGATATGCCAAAATAAACCATGGAAAGAGAAGAAGGGAAAGTCACTGATATTTTAAGGAAGTTTAAATGAGCATTTTAAATTGTAAAACAGAAAATTTATTAAAAATTAGATATATTTAATTCTGAGTAGGCCTGCTAAGAACTGAGGTTTATGAAGATCCCCCCCCCCATATATATATATAGGAAAAAAAATCTTCATAAAAACTCAGTTCTATAAATCATAAAAGCCAGGCCCTCTTTTGTTCTTCCTACTACTCAAAATAACTTAAGTCCATTTGCAAATTGGTGGACCTGCTGGAAGATACTCTCAAAAATAAAATTTAAAAAAGCATCCATTTCTCAACTTTTTACAGTCTTAACTCAGTTCATTTACTGGTATGCTTGTGTTCTAAGACATTAGTGGCGTTATATATTTATTCTTTATTTTCCCTGCAGATTTTATTTTATGCAATTCTGTACCTGGTGTCCAGGCGGGGACCTCCTTTTTTCCTCCCTGATGTGTCCCCAATTCTCTCGTAATCAAAAATTCATATATTTTTTACCTTTCAATTTGGTTCCTGATCCTTTTATTGTAGAGAGGCTGCTGTTTTTGATGACAGATCTCGAGGCTTCTTGCTGTGTGGTCTTGTTCTTGATGTGTGTCTGCGCTCAATCATGGAGCCCTTTCAGCTCCCTCTGGAGCTTTGAAAACTCTATGAGAGTGTTCACTGACACTGCAGGACCCTCTGGAACCCAAAGAGGTTTTACTTTGGGTTTTGGGGGGATTTTTCGAGAAGGTGCATTGTCTTCACAACCTTCTTTTCTCCTCACAGCAAGCAGATAAGTTTCGGAAACGAGCAATTTCTGCCATCCGCCATTGCCTGCGACAGACCCAGAAGTCTCCTCTCCATAGAATTAAGCAGACATTCTGTCCAATTTAGCACAACTGTCTAGAATTTGGGCTGGAAATGGTGGAGCAAAGAAGCTAAAATACCCAATATTTGGGAGAAGATCGTTCAGAGGTGCATAGGGTCTTAAAGGTGCAGGTATTATATAACAAAATCCATTTTAATGTGTGGGGCCAACATCAGCTATGAAAACTGTTTACCTGTACATATCTATCAATCTGTCTATAAACAACACACACAACAACACTAGTGTTTGAAAACACATGTCCTAAAATTTGTGGCTATGAATATTTTCACAAGCAGTGAAATATGAAAATCCTGCAAGAATTAACCAAAACATTACCTGCCA